GGCAAAGTCCTTATTTTTTTTCCCCTCCTATCTGCAGTTCCTCTGTTGAGTCCTGTTGCTGCTCAGAGATGAGGGAAAGCTGAGTAACATTATTTGTTCCTCAATTGAAAAAACAGTCAAAAACCCAAATCAGCCCTTGCTGGATTTTGATAAATCATCCTGGGAGCCTTGTCATGGGATGCAAAAGAGATAATTCAATTAAAAATCTACCTGTTCTGCAAGCAGTGATTCATTCCAGTGGCTACAAAAATATTCTTGCTGTGTCTGTGTTTGATAAACTACCTCCACCCAGACTATAGCTTTATTCAAAATATAAAATAGTATCTGGAGATTTCCTGCTTTTCTGATGATGCATTTTGCAATATGTCATGATAAGAAGCAGGCCTTTCTTAAGCTGCTGATAGCACATTGCTGTTCTCCAACAGACCAAGAGCCGTGAGGTCATTAGCAGCGAGAGGTTCATCTGCTCTGTGTCTGTTCAAACCTTGTAGCAGAAAACTCACTTCTTAAGGAAAACACTTGCACAACTTGGTGTTCTCTCCGATTTAACATTTTGGAGTAGACTCTTCATGTCCTGAATTGACTATTTTCTAGTCATGCAAACAATATTCCTAAGAGTAGGAATGCCGAGTAGTACTTTTACACTACCTTGCATAGCCTGGGCACATATCTTTTTAAACAGTGGAGGGTGCTTAGAGAAGTTCTGAGCAAGGGTTTGAAATGTTTCACACATTCTCCATACCCAAGAGCTGGTGCACAGCAAACAGGGTGGGTCACATCGCAAGGCTCCTCATAACAACCTCATCTACAGCAGGGGCCAGCAGATAAACTCTGCAGAGAGTCTAATTAGCACATTTTTCCTTTCTACGTTTGTTATGCACAAACTCTTCTCTGTGCAAAGGATGTTATTTTATTCTCTGCTCTTGCTCATGCGATTCCCACTGGCTATCTTTATCGTGCAGTTTTGCTATTTCTTACGGGTTCCTCCGTAGCRTAATGAAGCTGCTCTGCTTTCCAAATATAGTTTTTGGCACTGAAATACAAAGGTTGGAACTGCACTAAGAAAGGCAGAATAATCTTTACAGAATTATTTCAGTGTCTTCATAGAGCACATAACATTTTTTACACCTTTCCACAGACTTTCCTTTTCCCTATGCTGGCACATATTTGATAGTTGATCAAATAATAAGGCACCTGGACTATTACAGAGCAAGAAAAGAAACTGCTGAGTTCATAACTATTATGGCCATATAGTGCAGCCCATGTAGATATTTTATATGAGCAATTGGTTATTGTCAGAGACCTGAATTTTCTTGCTAGAGTATTTCCAAGCTGGCTTTCAGGAGGGATACTGCTACAGCAGCTGATTTCCCTCAGACCTTGGGGGGAGTTATCTTGCTCCAAAGGAATACTGGGCTGTTTACTGCAGTTCTGGAGAAGTTCTGCTCAGAGGAGGTCAGAGCAACAGGACTTTAAAAGAACTTTAAAAGAACTTTAAAACTTTTGTTTTTCTTTTTAATGCTTTTTTGGCTGGGAGCGCTGAGAGTTTTGCATGTTTTGTTATCAAACAAACATGCAAACAATTCCAGAAGCTGCAGTTTGTTATCTTCTACCATCTTCTGCAGGAGGTGAAAGCAGAAGAGCTAAATTCTAGTGAAAATATTCCCTCTCTCTCCCCCTCTGGCCAGCTTATAAAGATACACAATAATTTCACAATAAACTGTAATGAAGCATAGGATGAGCACCRTGCTCCCCACGATATGCTCCAAGGAGGAGACACGAGGAGAGAGGAAATTGAACAGCCCAATTAAAATATTGGCTCCAAGTTTCATGCAGTAAAGCACTTCAGCTTAGATAGGTCCTTATAGAGCTATAGAATTGCAAGGATAACAAGGTAGAACATGCCCCCCCTGGAACTGCAAGGTAGTTTATGAGTGAAGCAGAGGATGTGATATCCAGAAAGTCTGTCCCACATTTGACCCAAGACTGCAGTAATTCTTCATGATGGCAATTTACTTAAAGGAAAAAAATAACAACAAAAACATATTCTTAATTCTACAGTTACCTAACTATGATCCAGGCCAGCATCAGAAATCATGGCAGCGACATGSATGAAGAGCAGGTGACTTCAATGAACTTCATGCACTGGGCTGCCTGGGGTCATTTCTCATTATTTTGGGGATGAGAGAGGAGAAATGGAACAGCACATTGTCCTCCTGTGACAAGGAGCTCCCACCACCAACTCTACAGGACAAAACTGAGAGTCTCTCTTACCTACAAGGCTCACAGAGCAGTTCATCTTTTTACATTGCTGATACTTCCCTGAAGGGAGGATGCATCATTTCTGATTACAAGAACCTGCTAGGAAATAAATGAGACCAATTAGCAGTTAGAAGCTGGTGTTAAGGACGGCAGATCAGGAGGATCCCTTGCAGATGGGAAGTGAAGGCCACTAATGGCAGAAGACTTTTCTCCCCACCTTCTCAATTGCAAACCCACCACCAAGGCCCTGGCTGAATTACAGCAAAATTTACAGACCCCATGTGAAATCACAGGCATGCTAAGCCCAGAAAAAAAAGAAACCTGGTGAACTCAAGAGGAAAATTCGCCCTTCATTGAATTCCATGTCAAGCTCTATTAAGTTTAAAGGGACGTGGGAGCCGTCACAGGGTGACTGAGCACGTGCAAAGCTACCCAAGTGTGGTCCAAGTTGTAGGTTTATCTTTCCATTTGCAGCAAGCGGTCAGGCAAAGATATGCTGATTTTTTATTACAAAGAAGACTGAGAACAAAGGCTTAAGGAGAGTAAAGAGGTTTAAAATAGTATCAAAAACTTACAATATTCATGGTGCTGAACAGTTTGAGACCCCAGTTGGGCAGGGGAGGCTCATTGTAGTACAACAACCTGATTTTTATAAATTTTGGCTGCTCATTCACTCTAGCATGGCCTCAAAGGGATTCAGCCCCAGCATATCTCAGGTCCTACATGCTGCATGCTTACAGCCCTGGTCTAATGGGCATAGATCCTCCTTAGTAGCCTTCATTGAAAAGCAAAATTTCAGCTGATCTCCATGCAGGATCACCAAGATCACTGCAGCAAAACGTCATGAATAAGGAGGTTGAAAAGAGAGAAAAAAAATCCAGTGATAGTGCTTATCTTGTTCTGCTAAAGCTTCCTGCTGAAATAACAGGGCAAGAGAAGGGGAAGGAACCAAATATCTCAGTGATAAACAGTATTTAAAGTGCCTGTTATCATCATGTCCTATCAGTARTAAAAGATGCAATTCTATATGCTATGAAAGCCAAGCTGGCATCTCAGTCTCTTCCAAGGCTTCCTGTGGTGAAAGCTAGAGTCAACAAAACTGCTATTCTTAGACATGTGACATACTATTACTTGTACATTCATCTTAGCTATAAATAMGTGCTTACTTTGTGTGTGTGTGTATGCAAAAGCAACTTTTTCTTTTGGGTGGGTACCCRTATATCTACCTGTTGACTTCTGTTAACAGAAAGGAACCTAACTCMTCTAATAAAGTAGGGTTGAGCTCAAAACCAACAAAATTCAGCTGAAAGACTGATTGTAGTAGCCTTTCCATGAGGSTTCTCCGATCAAATACTGAGCCCATGTGAAAGGAATAATCTTAGGGGATACTTGAGAAGAAAATCATAAAACTTCCTTGGAATCCTGGGATTTAATTACTGCTCAGAACTAGAAGGGAAGCACAAGAGTTTGGGCAAGCTCCACAGCATGAATGGTGTGAAAGGTTGGAATGGCAGAAAGAGCAAAATAGGCAAATAGCTTTTTTTTTTTTTTTTTTAAGGAATGGAATGCAGACAGATTTCTCTGTTTGGAAAGACACTGTTTGGCAACCTTTATGGAAAAAGTATGTTGCCTTCCGTTTCTCTTCTCTAATTTATGTAGTGATGCAGCAAAAGCATCTAYAGACATCCTGCAAATCTCTCTTAAGGCATCATAATCCTGAATAATAGCASAGATGACACAGAGTAAAAGCAAGAAAATTATAGGAAAGGGGAAGAAAACAGACAACTAAAAACTGCTTGATGCAATTAACTGGGGGGATACAAAAGGGGAAGAAAGAGGTTTCACAGTTATTAGTGAGAAATGTTAATTCATGATCAAAGGAGAAAAAAAAAAGGCGATGACTTAATTATTTTGGTTAGGTGAATCTGAATTGAAAATGGAGATTAAAGAGTATTGCAGGCAGGTGAATTCTGGATTCTGCTGCAGGAAAATTTTAAATGGGTTCACATTATGTCACCTGCTGGATTTTAATAGTCAAGATATTGACTGGGATGAGCATTGCACAAAACCAGCAAGACTATTTGGCTAGAGGCAATGCAACTTTGAAGAATTTCTTGATTATTTTCCTATTTGGGCTTTCAGCTTAGACATAAATCCCAGTACATTTGGGCTAAAGTGGCACGGTGGCTTAATGACTGTTGTTCATATCATCACTCTGAAATACTCGATGAAACTGAATTCTCAAAAAGGAAGTAGCAAGAAGTTTTGCCTCCTAACRCAGATATTGTCAGCAGTTCTGCCCACATTTCGGGTTATGTTTGGAAAATCTGGGAGCTGCAATCTATGGCTGGTGTGTCTCCATAAAGTGGTGAGTTACAGCACACCTCAGAAGCAGCTAAGAGACCTGGCCGGGGAACCATAAAACGAAGTCAAGCAGAAAAGTCCCGATTCCCAAACAATGAATGAGAAATCCCATAATTCAAACAGAAATACCTTTGGAGCAATGCACGTATTTATTGCAAACCACAATTCATTCTTTTATATTTTATTTTACAAATTCTCCATTACTTGCTCCAGCTACAGTGAAATGGCCTACTGTAATTTAAAGACAGTTCAGGCAGATCTTTTATGTCGCTTTTCCATGTCAGGGAATAATCAGACAATTGAACAATCAGATTACTGAAATGCTGTTAAGTGCCTTGTGAGGCAAGAAAGTGTGAACTATTTAAGAACTAATGTGAAAGACAGCAGTTTATATGACATCAGGTAGGTCTAAAATGGAAAAAAAAAAAGGAAGAATAAGTCAATATGATTAGATAGGACTATATTCAACAAGCACATTTCTTGTTTCACAATTGTAAGAGAAGAAAATTGTTTTATGAGAGATATTTCTAGAATGTGCTCTAAAAGAAATAGATTTCTACTATTTAGCCTGCATTATACCCTTGCATCCTTCATAGCTCACAGAAGTGATTTTCTGTGCATCCAAAAATTTACTCTCTGAGTAATGATTTTTTTTTTTTTTTAAATAGGAGATGCTAAAATGAATCACATACATTAAAAATTGCACAGTTAAACCCTAGGAATTCATTCAAACATTTTTAAAGCAGAAATGAGGTCAAAGAGAAAACACTGCATCAATGATAGCTATTTGCCAACTCTTTGTAAGCTTCTCAGGAACAAGAAGTTGTGGAATTTCTAAATTTAGAAGTTACTGATGAGCCCATTTGAGTGGTCCCACCACAAAGCTGTTGCTTTAGAGCTGACAACTTTAATTGCAGGACTAAGTGAATATTGACAATAAGGTGCACATAAAATTTTCACCGAAGTTAGGATCACAGAGACAGTACCTTGTACTTTATCCACTTCATTCAAAATCCATATCTGCTCCCATTCAGATTAAAAAGATAGGTCCTTACTAGGAGATGAATTCTCACTGCAGAGAGCTAAACCRAGACACAGAGAACAGAGATGTGTTTTTGAATGAATGTTGAACCGTTTTGCTTGTTTTTTAATGTTACATACCAAAAACACATCTGAGGCTGCTTTATTTTCTAGAGTCTCCAGAATAGAGATATGACCCATAGTTGAAAACAATACACACACAAAAAAAGCCCTAAGCGTTAATGATAATGGAAGACAGAGTGCCAAAGAATTTACTAGAGAAGAGTGCCCATTTCCATCAAAATTTATTTGAGTCAGTACTGAACTATCAAGCCCTTTACCTGAAATCCAAAAATATTGTAATGGCAGTGCTTTTAATTATAGTATTTTCCATCACAGATACTTACAGAAGGAGATATACCCTACAGAAAGATGATATTTGTGTGAAAAAAGGTGGAGAGGGTCAAGAGAAATGTACATTTTACAGAACACTGAGAATATGGGTACTGTAATTAATGGATCAAATTGCCAAGGAATTGCAAAGAGGATCAGAGGGTAAAAAGATAATTATCAGATCAAAGGGGAAGAAGCCAAATATTGAAATAAAATGACAGTAATGCAGACAGCTAAAGAGAAATTATTGACCAATAATTGTATTGCTTTAGGCAACATATGCTTTGCAAGAGCCATTAGAAAAATAAAGTCTTTTGGGCAAGCCTCTATTTTTATAAACGTGAAATTATAAGTGTCAAATGTCAGGAAGTCATTGAGCAACCACAGTGAAATAGTARTAGCCCAGTTTGAAAAGTTTATAAATGAAATGCATAACGGGAATTTAAAGGAATACAAGCATCAGTGGCTACTTATGTGGTCAAGGAAGTTTCCTTTGAATGCAAAAGTAAATGAGTGCATTTTTTCAGAGATTTAGCACAAGAGCACAAGATTTGTGCTTATGTCAACATAAATTGTGTAATTTATTCTACAGTTGATGTCACCCTGGGATAAAACCTTGGTGAAGCCTCTCCACTGTTCTGAGTTTTGAATCTCTCCCTAGAAAGGAATTATTGGCTCCATTCAATCTCAATATTTTTAATCATCTGTACACAGCCTCTGTGAGCTGTGAACATGGGTAGATCTGATTTCCAGGACAACTAACCTGATCTCCTGCCTTCTCCTTGTGCAAGGAGCAGGCAATGCTCAGGTGAGCTGTCAGGTCAGCCAGGGACACGTGGAACATAATTCTGGTTTCTGCTTCCATCTTCTGGAGGTTGTACATGAGCAAAAGAGTAAAATTACATGAAATATAAATTAATTGGAGTGTGAATGTGAACACTACTACTGAACACTGCCACTGCTAACTTGCTAAGTGTAAACTGGATGGAGGTTTTATCTTCTCATGGATTTACCTCTGCAAAGAGTGCATAAGTACAGTTGGTTCATATTTTGCTCTCACATTTAGCTTGTAATTAGCAGGAATTTGTGGGGAAAGAAAAAAAAAAAAAAAAAAAAAAAAAAAAAGCATGTGTCGAGTATATGCTTATGTATTAAATGTTTCCCAGATTACTAAGTGATAGATAGGATTGGAAATGCCAGTCAAAAGAGCTCTTCTGCCTCTGCTGAAGGGCAGTGACAAAGACTCCATCGCCTTAGTCAGCCAGTGATCTAAAATTGGGAACCCTGAGGTCATCCCCAGAGAGAGATACGATGTAAAAGATGATATAAATCAAGACAACCCTATGTATAAAAGTCTCTACTTACTGTCTTGTTTTCTAAGAATCATTCCTRAAACAAAATTTGTAATTTTAATGAGAGCTACAAGATCAACATTCTCTRGAGAGCAGAGGCAAATAGTTCTAGGCAAACCACTGTGGCCATCAAAGATGAAACATGAAATGGGACAAACTCCGAGATAAAAATGTACTAAGAGAGATAAAAGCAATATTTCTCTTTAATATTAAATCCTAGCTAAAAAAAAAAAGACCTATTTTTTTCTTGACTGAAAACAAATATATTTAGCTGTTACATACATCAGTATTATTTAATGACTCTGATATAACTTCAGCTAGTCATATCTACAAAATCTGCAGCTCAGTAATTAGTGTGCATGTGTTGGGGCAAAAGTTTAATATTTCAAAAGTATCATTTTGGATGTATAATTCCAACTGCATCGCACAGGCCTAAATAAAAACCATGTGAACTGCTTTTTAAACAATTCTTGATAAATGATCAGTCACATCTCTTGCTGCTTATTCTGAGTTAAACCCTAATTGCCTCACATATGAGATAATAAAATAAGATCAATCTTTAAAACTCCACTGAAATATATGTATCTTTTTTTTTTTTTTTTTTTTGCAAGAAATGGTGCTGCATAGCCCATAATAGAGAGATGATGATGAGGTGCCCTGAAGTGATTAGACATGCTGCAAGAGCGAATTTAATTTGGAAGATTGAGAGGTGTGGAGATAACTGCTTTCTGCCTACACACTTCTACCACTACTGACTCTAACTGAGGACTTATAAATACWTTATAAATTAAAGAAATTAACCACACCACTCCCAAACTGCAAGAACCACCTACACCATTTGTACACCGTACTATTAATAGTGGGTAAAACATCAGTTCTTGGAATATATTAAAGTGGAAGTGGATTTTGAAAAGCCAAAGCTGGTGTTCTTAGGTGTGAAACACTGATAATTTCCAGGCAGTCTCTAGGACTCTGACTCAAATGAGTCTATTCTTAAAAAGAAGATGATGTAAGCAATATTGGGATTGGGTAAAGTCTGAACGTGACGCCCAAAGCACCCRCAAGCTGCTGTGATCTTCATCGATCACATCCGTCTACCAGCCCTTGTACTGGAAGCAGGCTCCATTTTTCCTCCTAAAACTCCCAAAACCAACCAAAATCATCCTGCAACTGGCCTGCAAGCCTTATGTAAGCTCACCTGCAACCCAGTTATAGCCTCTCAAAAACACACACCTCTGCTAATTGTGAATTCATGTTGCTGTACTGTAGCCTTTAAGGCTATGAGTTAAAGTTTTTATGAGTGTGGCTAATCCAGTTTATCAACAAAACGCTTGAAAGTTTGTGTGCGGAAAGAAGATAATCAGTATTCATGCTTTGAGATGTCAGCAGGGGTCAGGATGGAATTATCTTGTCTTATGATGCATTTAAGAATGGCTAATTATGTTTGTTCATAAAATTTGGTCCTTAAACAACTGAAATCAGAGTAAAAGCTTTTGTACTTTTGACTGTGAATGACTAATTTGGCTGAGGTGTTTGTTGATTTATATCAGAAAGTCCTGCAATCATTTCAATCACCAGTTAGATGACACATTTTGACAATATATTGAACAAAAGGCAAAAAAACCTTAACATCCATTGCCCTTATATAAGCTTTCATTCCCAAGACAATTTTGCTCGGGAAAGTAGAGGTGAGAGACAATCTCTAGTAGATACATTTACACTTACATACAGATGTGTACATGCACATATAGCCTAGAGAGTCCATAACATACRATTTTGGAGCCACATTTAGAAGAGAACCAAGGTTAAGTATTGAATATGTGCGCACACCGTGTCCAAATACCCCTTGTAGATCCCTAAGACACATTTTAACGTTATTAGAGATGCAAAATAAATAACTTCTCTTCATCCACTTAGAGCAGTAACTTGTCAAGCAATGGGAAAACCCACCTAGAAACTTACATACTTGAGAAGAGATTAAAAACGTGCAATTCAGGAACTTTTCCTAACAGCTTCGTCCTCCCAGAGTAAATCAGGCAGCACRTGAAGAGAGGGATGGACAGTGTTAAACACATCCAACTGCAATATCTCTTGTGCAGGTGCAGAGTGTTAGAGCCATTCACCAGCTGAGATGGGTCAGGCTTTTGGGCAATTGCCCACAGCTGCATGGTTGGAAGAGAAGTCAGTGAGAAAGTCATCAGCTGGCTCATGTTTTCCACAGCAGACCCCAAGCTGTAGCCAGAGCTGCTGGTCTCATTGCTTGCCCCATATTCAGAACTGCTGGCAAGCTCTTAAGCTTTGCAACTCAGTGGGAGAATATTTTGGCTGGAATTATCAGAACACAAATACTGGGTTACACAGGACCTCTGGATATGCTACATAGCCCGTTAATGATTCTGGAGCAAAAATATTTGTTTTTCGACCAGTGGGGAAGGAAGGGAAAGGGACCTGTCTACTGTTTTCCGGCTGGCATTTTGTAGTAGCACCACAGTCTGCTCTTTAATGGCTGGACATATTGCAGGTGTAACCAAAGCATTATGGTGTTTTTGATGTCCCTCAAAATAGCTGCCGCTGATGTTGCAGAACTGGTGCTGAGCCCGTAAAAATGCATGATCTACAGCCATGCCTGAGAAGAAGACAATGTTGTGATGTTGATGAAGACAAATATTCACACACACCTCATTAATATGATATTTATCTGTATGACATCTGCATATGGCAATGGGCCGAATCCCTTGCTGATGATCCATTGCAACAAGAATATTAGAGGCTCAAAGAGGGTCATATTAAGCTTGTGTATCATGTAATATAAATAACACGTTSTGGCAGTTCCATCAGTTTCTCCATAATGTGTGATAATTTTCTCTACAGTACTCTACCTAAAATAGAAAATGTATATTCATTATCTTGCAAAGATGCCTTTCCACCTAGGGATGGCAGGGAGGTGCCTCTGTTCCTCTCTATTCACAGACATATCAGAGCTACCTGTTAACAAAGAGCTAAATTMTGGCCATATATCCATGTATTTATAGAGCAGCAATCTCTGCTCCATAAATAGCCTCAGCCTCCAGTGACCAAAGAGGGGGCGAAAAGCCAAGCTTTCAGTTAAATGAAAATTTGACTTTCTYCATGTGATAAACCTTGAGGGATGGATTATGGAGCCGGTCCTAAATAACCAAGTTATGGGCATAAAAGCCACAATTGCAAGGAAGCCTGAAAGCCTTTGGCCTTTTTATCTCCACTAGAGTAAAGCTGGAGGGTTCAAGGGTTGTGTCCGAACAAAGGGCTGGTGCTTGCACAACTTCCAGACACTGTCCAGAGCCATAAAGCCTTAGACCTTGACTAGCCCTAAGGACCCTGCAGAGCCCCTCGACCCTGGTACTCTGAGCACATCAGCTCTTTTGGTGTTGGCTCCAGCAGGATCATTGAGTTTCCCTCAAATAACACTTTACCAAGAGCTTGTCCAACCCTTAGTCCTTCATACAAAACATTAAAAACTCAAAATCTGGTATTTTTAATTAAACAGCTTTACTGAGAAAAATATTTTTACTTAAAGCCTCTTATAACTATCTCTGAAATAAGTGTGAAATGTCTGTAATTTAATCAGCTTGCTGTTAGCTTATATACCTAATGAAAACTGGTTTAATGCCAGCATTTTTGTTGGCACCAAAATTCATTTTATTATAATCTCCCAGCATCTCTGGGACTAAATTCAAAATTCTTGCTTCAGATGTCAAGTATGAGTTGAAAGTATCAATGCTTTTCCCCTCGTTTCACAGAGTAGCCTTGTTTTTTTGCCTCTTCTGAGCCAAGAGAAGTCATTAATTAACAACATTACATCCTCAGTGAAGTCCGGGTGAGACACTCCCTCTCATGTACAAGCCACGGGATAAGCAACGACACGGAACATCTCAAATGACATCAAGTATGTTTGRCCTTCACTTTTAGACTCTTCCCAGTGGGGACTGTTCTTTTTTAGCTCTTCATTACCTCAGCCACATAAGTCAGAATGCTTAAGKCTTTATTATGTTTGGACAAGTGGGGGATATGGATATATGACTATGCAATATGTTGATTTTATGTGTGATAATATAGAGATAATTAAATTCTTCCCTAGTATATGAAAAAAAAAGAGATATCAATTTATTCACACCAAGAAAACCAGGAAAGCAGTTCTTCAGAAAGTGATTTAAGCTTTATTTTATTCTTTCCTCTTCCCTCCATCTTTATTCCTCTTTAAGATCATGAAACASTTGCAGCATATATAATGTGGAAAGAGTATTACTCTTCACATAGGCTTTTCCCAGCCAAGCAAATAGCACATACAAAGATACATAATCAACAAAATATTTTATAAACCATTTTACAACCACCCTTTCCAAAGATTTATTTTAATTAGCTCAGATTCTTCTGCTCCTGTGGAGGTTGGCCATGGCACATTAATGAGCATTATGCACATCCTGCTATGGAGGGAGGTGGCAATGGGCAGACCCAACTGGAGGAGCAGTATGAGGAAGACTCAATGAATATCCAGTGTGGTGCAGACTGACACAGCTCTCCAGGCTGTTTTTAGTATTGGTAACTGCTAATATATAAAATGAGATCATTCCTTGTGGTATAAACAAGAAATACTGTATGAAGAGGGTTTTTTTTTAGCTTCTAGATGCTTTCATAATTATAACGAGCCTGCTCCAAAATGGTGGTGTTTTTGATTGTGGTAATTTGATTGTGGTCTTCAGAAATGCTCTGATATGAGCTGTCCTTTCTTTTTTTTTTTTTTTTTCTTTATTTTATCCAGGAAATAATTGTATTCTCTTAATAGCAACTGAAAGGATGAAAAGCTGCAGAGTTTGGTCTTTCTGAAAGATAAACAGTAAGCCGTTCTGCATAGGGATCCTTCTTGCTCAGATTGGCCACCAAAAAGAGACCATTCTCTGTTATCTCTATCTTATCAGTATGCCTAATTCAACAGGGGCTTTTGCAGGAGCTTCTGATCACTAAAAGAGGAAATGGATACAGTGAAAAGCTACTACTTTTACCAAAAGCTTCAAAATCATTTGCTTATAGGATGGGTTATTCCTCTTACATCCTCCTTATGTCCATCAAATTTTAAACATTTATTCATCCCAGACAGGCCAGTGAAAGGCTCAGGAAAGTATTATTGAGGCATGTAACTTCCAACCACATCCGGAAACAGAGAAGTAGGAGAAATAGTTATCCACCTGTACAGCCATCTGGAAGATCTCGATCCTTCTGACCACTTCACCTTGCATGATGTCCTCTTCACGTCTCGCTTCACGATTGTACAAGCACAGGGAATCGATGACTTTAAGCCTTTAATAGATAGTTTGAATACGCTCTGGCTTTGGCCATCCTACAGCTTTGGCCATAAAGAAGCAATAATTCAGGTTTTAATGATGGCCTTAACTTTTTGGTCTAACAAGCAAATATTTGTTGTGTCCAGCAAAGTTATTATCTCTTCATGGTGATGTCGATTAAATTATGTCTGAAGCAGGGCTTAAGTGCTGTAGCACTGCAGTCAAAGATCAAAACCAATTGTGTTTTGCATAACAGTACTCGAAAACACAGCTATTTCTATTTAAAAAATCAATTTTTCTCTAACAGATTACATTGTTTCTTTGAAGTGTGAATTTAAGCAGCTACTGTTTGTAATAATATGTACATCATTAATCTTCAGACTTTAATATCTATAGTCCTATTTAGCACACTGCAGCTTCAAAGGATTTGGATGCCTTGTTTTTTATTGAGATATGAGGTAAAACATAAATGAAAGATCTGGGGAATTAATATTATATCCATTTTTTTTTAATCTGAATATCATTTTATGATTGATGTGTTAGAAATACCTGTATATTTGCCTCGATCAACAGTAATACAGGCATACTGGAAAGGGTAAACATATTAGTTAGAGACCTGTACATCTCTCCTTCTTGCTAGTGTAATCATTAAATTGATTTTTCCAGTCCGACATGTAATTGCTCCAGCGATGGAATCCTGCTTTCCACTCCAGTTCTGCTTCATCAACACTTCCTGTAAAACACAAAATGGGTCGCATTAATCTACATTTGAATCTCTTTAAATGCTAATTGAAAATGTTTTTGATTATCACTGTCATTTGCTCTAGATACATTTTAGCCTAGTCTTCTCTTGTCTCTTTTCATCAACCTGGAAAGAGGGGAAATTCAGTGATTAACACTTTGGATTGAGAAGGAGTGACTGAAAAGACATCATCCTGACATGCACTTCAGGATAGTAAGTATACTTASGGGTAGATTTGTTGTTTTTTAGCTAATATCCACGTCTATCAAATTAGTCATTGTAAAGTCATGTCTTTCGGAGATCATCAAAMTATTGTTCTAGTTCAATATGTTTTAAAGCAAAATCTGGATAGTCCCTTGCAAACTGAGATATGTAYTGAAACCACAACTGCTCAAAGCAACAACACTGTTGCCACTAGATTTAATAGGGTCATGATTTCACCCTGCTTTGAAATAAATATACACATTCAACGCATAGAAGACATAAGTTTGGAGAGAGATAGAGTAAAACATGCACAAAGTCAACATAAAAAAATTGCTTTTTCCTTCTCTTATTCTAGCTTATAAAGCATGTTCCAAGTAATCTCAGGTCCCAAGACAATATTTATTGCCAGATCTGTAATAGGCATCATAGCAGAGAGCAAGGTTAAGAAGAGTAATAAAAATAGATCATCTTGGAAAGCTCCCAAAGTATCTTACAGACAGGGATCACTTCTTCCATTCCCGAAAGCAAATTAGCCCCAGGGAAGAATACAGGATACTGTAGGAAGGATTCATGCAGYAGCTAAGGGGAAGATACTGGAGTTTATTGTATATTGTGAGTCATTATTTTAGATCTCTTGTAGAGATGTTTTTTTCTTAAAGTTAGATGGCAGTTTGTGATCTACAAATGCATTCTGCACCTAATTATTTCAGTCTCCCATATCGACATAACTCGCTTCCAAAAACAAAGTTTGGTAATTGTGTTCATGCTATACCATTTTCATGGATGCTTTATGCTCCTCTGATTTTATGTTCTTCTGCTAGGATAGAATATAGGCCCCTTCTCTCCATAAATACACCCTTTCTCCCTTTTTATGATCTGACAGCAGTGCAAGTTTAGCTGGTTATGTGAAAATGAAATACTTCTTTTGTGTTTTACACATCAGTAGAGAAAATATTCTGGAAAGAGATTTAACAGACTCAGAGATTTAGTTTGGAGAAGCATCCAGTAATTTAGTTGTTTATCTGCAGTTCAGCTCTATGTTTCCAAACCTTTTTGGTCTGGAAATCCAGATGGCAATTTAATGAGACTTTGAAATGAGATTTTCATTACTTCTTGGTTTCAGTGAGAGTTAAAATGCAACCTTTTCTTGGTGGGGTTCTGTAGTTCTGCCTGTAGTCAAAAGTATAATTATGAAGAGCAAATATAAAGGGGAAAAAAATTAACCAAACTCCTCCCGCTTCAGCTAAAAGAARAATATAAGCTTGGTAATATCAAAGAAAATTGAGATAATTAAAAAAAATACATTCTGCTAGCCAGAACTGCTGTTAAATCTAAGGACAGAGCTGCAATGTTTACATTAAAACCGTGTCTGGTTACTAAGCTAGACAAGTGTGAGTTGCAGAACTATACAAAAAAGAAATGCATGAAGTTTTATTTTCCTGATCCCCAGAATTCATCTTTGTATATTTCTTAATTTATAGAAGTCAGGTTCTCTGATCAAGYCAAATTAATTCTACATATCCCAGATGTTCTGGTAACTTAGCATTTGGATTGTTCTTGCATTATTTGAAGAAAAATGCATAAATCTTATTTCTTTTCTTGTACTTGATTGTTATGGGTATCCAGCTTTACTTAGCCAGGCAAATCTTCTCAATATCAGTTTGAGAAAATGCTCTGTTTATTCCTTTATTATTCTGGTTTAGGTGTGTGCAAAGGCTTAATGTTTGGAAAGCGTTTCTGTCCAAAGACTCGAAATAAAACAGAAAAAAAAATACTATATGCACGTCTTCAATCAAAAATCACTGTTCTAGATTAGAAATTATGAGACATTTCAGTGCTTCTTCAAGATCACTGTGAAGGAGTGAGGGAGCTGGGGAGAGCGGACAACAAGAAACGCGGACTAGCCATCATTATGAATCTAAAAGACAAGGGAGAAAGGAAAACACCAAAAAAAGAACTCCAGCTCCCATTTGTTTGCTTTTTTTCAGTGATAAGATCCAAATTGAAGTCACAAGTCAATGCATCCCATTATCACCAACATCATCAATCTCTTGGAGGCAACCACCCATGACTTAGAAGAGCTGTCAGCTARAAGGCAAAAAAAGATTAGGGAATTCGGCTGGACCGGTAATTACAGCTGCGAGTACTGGGCAGCCACCATCAGCAGCAATCCTACAGAAGTCAGCTAATAATACAGTGAACTTATTTTGCTATATAAAGTCATTTAGATAGTCCCAAACCCTGCAGTAATAACAACTAGCCCCATCCAGGACCCAGTGAAGTTTATGAGGAAAAAAAAGGGAGATTTCAGTGGGCAGTGAATCATGTCTTAATGCCTTGAAAGGTCCCAGTTTAACTAAGCAAAAAATGAAGGTTTTTTTTTTTATTATTATTATTCCTCAGCACAGGTCAGCACAGACAGCTGGCATTTCTTTTCTTTCCACACAACCCTCATTCAAATGACTTTATAGCAAAGTTAAATTTGTCTCCATTCCATCATTTGCTGCTCTGCTGAACGTGTCAATAAAGTGCTAATCTTAAACGTATTTTGCGCTATTTTCATTAGGAGCAGGACAAAGGCTGTGTAGCTATTCTTTTATAGTAAATTTAGAAAGGGATAGGAATCTAGAATAAGTTTTTCCATCCTTCTCAACATCTCATAAATCCTGRTACCTGCAAACATCTTTTTGATTCATCAGTATGATAAACACTACAACTTGATCTRCAGCAGGCTCTCATGGTGAGAATTTCCACATAAAAAGCTACAAAACAGTAAAGAAACAGTACCTCAATATTTCTCTTTTTAATATAAAGAATGTAATCATACATTCTGTGAATATTCATTAAATAAAACCTACAATATTTGTCTTTCCATGTATATTTTTAAGAACTTCAATTTTTTTCATTTTCTTCCAAAAGATGATAGTGCTGTCTGGAAGGTAAAATACTGTAAGGGCTGTTTTACCTCCTATGACCTGGGACGCAAGATGATAAAGGTAGAAAAACAAAGTTTARGGTATTGTATCTGGTCATATTTCAGTAGTTTGGGTGAGATTGCTTTTGAGTAATTTCATTTTCAACAAGTATAATGAGGGCAGGAGCTAGTGCTATGGCAATGGACAATTGATGGCAATTTTTCTAGTTCATTGTATTTTTAATAGTCCAAATGTTCTGAGTATCTATAGCTCTTTTGATATCTCTACAGAATCCAGATATCGTTTGGATGATCTCAGTAGATAAAACAATTTGGATTATTCACTAATCAGGAGATTGAAACTAACTTTTCTTTGTCTCCTCATTTAAAATGTCTTCATGGTTTAATTTTTAAAATATAATGAATTCATATTAGCTACCTGGATATTTGTTTTCTTTTTAGATAATATATGATATAAATGAAACCAAAAAGTATGTATTATACGTGCCGGAAACAAAATTATAGTGGAACACAAACGGAGAGCTTGGCTGCCTGCAGCTTTCCACAATCAAGTGGAAACAGGAGTGTATAAATAGTTAGGGGTCTGGATACATCAGGATTGTATTAAGGAAGTAGTCTTACATAGATGCTTTTATAATTAACTTATGATTGCTCTAAAAGCCACTTAAGAGTCACTTACCGAGCTCTGTCCCTCCAGTGTGGTACTTTTAGCAAGCCATCAGAAAGAGAGTTCTGATGATTGTCCCACTGCTTTTGCCCTCAAGTGAAATATTATTAATATCTTCAGATCCTAACTGAAATAATTCCTCTTTGGCTATCAGAATTACCCTTGAACCTTGAATAACTACCCTTATTACTAAGTTGCAATAATAAACACTCTGCTTTTGGGTTCTTTTGTTGTCTTACATCATATTAAAGTAATCTTTTACTTCTAAGAGTATTTTAGTGGAAGAAATAATGGAAAATATGGGCCTTCATAAGGTGAGGAAATGTTTCTATTTATGACACTCAGTGTCCTGCTAGTTCCTCTGGGTGTAAAAGGAGACAGAAATGCAAGATATTTCAGAGAAGGGGATTTTTACAATATAAAGATAGCATAACATGTTGGTAAGTGGAAACATTAAGGGTTTCCTTGTCAGAATTGTAAGAGATTGTGTGCCAAACATAAGTACAAAACCATAATATTTTGATTGCAATATTTCAAGGACTCATATATCCAGATACATGACAAAATTGTACTGCTTCACAACACTCTTGGCTTGTTTCTGGACCAGGATCCAGGCATGATGAGGTTTTCCTTTTTGTGAAAGAACATGTTGAGTTTCTTTTAATTAATAATGTCAATACRCATCATGAGTTACTGAACACAATACAACAAGTGAAGACCTGTTGGAAGGTCAGGAGGCTGCTTCATTATGTCTCCTCATGCAGAGACATGCAAAGCAACTTGGCTGTCCTGCCAAGATGTTCTGAGCAGCGTCTAGTGGCCCGATCTGCTCTGCCATGGAGCATTTGGTGGTGCCTGGTTGTTTGGCAGGTATGAATTACACCTTGGGAGCTAGCAGCCTGGCTAGAGAAACACCTAAAATGATTCTTCTGGCTCAGAAGAAAGGGTGTGTCAAAATTTGGAAAAACATCCTAAATTCCATCCACATAACTTCATTTTCTCTGATTTTTTTTTCTTTTTAAATCACAAAATTAACTTGATAAACTTACCTCTTGATGTTGCTGCTTCTCTCTTGATTTAATTGAAAAGCTGCTGTTGAATTAAGAGGGGATAAAAGTTGAGCCATAACACAAACATAGGCTCAAATTAGGAAGGAAGAAATTATATCAGGGGAAAAAAAAAAGACATCTGTGCATTTTTTTCATRGAACTTTACTTATTTTTAAGTCTACAACTCAATCTGAGTTTGTACACTACTAATTAACTTTTAAAATCTGCATCTGAGTTCTGAAATGAGATTCTCATGCAGCTCAGAGGTACAAAATCTCCTTTATAAGACAATTTTTAGTGCAGCCTGCAAGCACAGACCCTTGGCCAGTTTGATGGACTTCACAAAAGAAGTTGCTTTGGCCTTTGCACAAAAACCTATCTCAGTACAAGTGGATTTAAAAGCCCATTATGTTCAAGTAAACACAAAAAACTGCTGCAGTTGTGTGTTTTCTGAGTGATGATTACCTACATCTCACAAAGAGGCTGTATGAGCAGGTAGCTACAACTCRGACACAATTTTCCTCGGTCAATGCCAAGGTTCTCCTAGTTGTCTTTAATGTCTGAAACTCTAGAAATAAAACATAACTCTGAAGAAGAAACAAATACCCACTTGGCTCCTGCAAAACACTCTATCCCCTGTGAACCTGCCACATAATGATATAATCTCATATGCTRTATATGATATACTCCCTATTTGTCACCCCACAATATACCTGGGACACATGAACCTCATATAAAGCCCCTCCAGCCTTCAGAAATCCCTGTGCAAGTTCCCAGCTTAGCAATGACTTTTGTGCTATTGCCACCATCCCAGGGAAACCTGAGTTGAAGTAATTCCGAGATCCTCGCACCAGGCTCCTGGAGAACGGAGAGATTTGCACCACGCTCAGATGTCTCATGTTGTAGATACATCTGCTCTGCACAAGTCCAGGGCCTGGGCTGTCCATGGGGTTGCCCCAGCATGTAGCTGGATGCTACGAGGTTATGGGATGATGACCACAGTTGTAGGACACCTCACAGGATGGACAGTTCTCTGAACATCTGAACATCTTATGGAAATATATTTACAAAGAGAATCTTCAAGCTTTAAACTAAAGCAGCACATTAATATGAAGCAAATGAGCTTGCATAAAACAGTTTACATAAGCAAACCTACTCCCCCACCCCAGAAAACAAACAGAACTCTTACCTGTCATTTCCATGACTTTGGGAAAAAATGTGCTCCAAAATCGACACTGCTGAGCACGTAATTTTGTGTATATCTTTGGAGGTTCAGTGTCTAAAGTCAAATACTTTTGTTCAGTACTTGTGAAGACTGGCCATCTTGTCCCATTAGCCACCGTTGCGTTTGGTGTTCTGAAGGAATGAACAGAAATGTTTCATTTCTAATGAGAAATTGCCTCAGTGTGTCAATTAAGTAATTTTCTTCTGTAAAATATTGGTGAACAAACAAACAAAGCAAATTGGGAGACTGATGTTCACATTTTAATCCAAGCATTACTGTCTGATTCAGATGGACAGATATATTGGGCTAAATGTCTCAGATAGAAATTCAAGTGAAAGTTAAATAACAGTCTAAATCTTGTACAACAGCTGTGCTGGAGGAAAGGAGAATTATTGCTCATTAAGAAAAAGCAGTCTTACTCAAAGGACGCTCAACACCTTTACGAGGGTGCCAAGCATGAAAGACCTCAGCTCTTTAGGAAATCATGAGGAGGTTTGACTCTTTATAAATTGTACATTACAAGATCACAGCTCCGAGTAGTAAAATAATTGTAATAAATATTAATAACACAATGGAATTCGTAAGGGTTTAGGAAGAGCCAGACCAACATTCGAAAGGACAGACAAATTGACATCCATTTGTTTTCCCTCCAAAAAGAACATCTGCAGGATCTATAGGATGAATCGAAATAACTCAAGTTAAAAAAGAAGATAGTTTAGGGGTGTTGGAAAAAAAAAAAAAGATTGAAATGGAGAATATTGTATTAGGGAGCACCTGAGACAGACTGATATTTATAGAAGATAGATTGTGTGTAACTGTTTAAAATAAAAGTCTATGTTAGCTAAAAAGTCAGCTGCGAAAATCATATCAATACCCGTTGGGTTATGCAGAATGAGCCAAGTTTTTGGCCCACAACTCTGCCTTTTAGCAGCACCAGTTATTGGCCACTCATAGAAGCACAATGTGAGAGTACGGTGATGTGATGGAGCGTGCCCATTCCTAAGCTCCTAAACTGGCCACTTCTTTACTAATTCTGCTCTGATTAACTTAACAGCCCCCTTTTTAACTGCACATTTATTTATGGCTCATGAGAACGATGACTTAAGCAGAGCTGACTTGCACTTCAGCTCAAGATCAGAGCACTAATGGTGCTGTCAGTATTCATTTAACAGCTTTTATGCTATGAAATAAATCATGACATGCCACGTTATAATTTACAGGTGTGTGTGGGGGGGTTACACTATGGCTACAGATGTATTTTACTAAAAGTGATTGAAAGAACTGTCAGATGAACACAGCATTTTTAAAAATGCAAACCTGCTGATKAGGACATTTTCTCCACATTCCTATAATGCTTACCATTGAGATAAATGTCCAGTAATCTCCTCCTTTCCTCCAATATTGAAAATTTTCGAGGTGAAAAAGCAGCTCTCAGTGATAGCAAAGCAGAAAGATCACAGGAGCATAATTTTTTAACTGGAAAGAGCATAAAGTTATGATTATAACCTCGCTGCCCTAGCACAATTACTTTCCCTTCCTTCTTGTGAAGAAGAACTTCATGATGAGAATTGCAATGCCTAGAACAAACTGTAAAATTCCTCAGTCTTTGAGCCAAATGCAAAGTTTAATCCTATAGGCAAAACAAACTGTATTGGGAGAATATTTTTATGGAAGAGAAGGAACACAGCACCRCACATGAGCCTAAATCTGCACATCTCTACTCACAAATAGTTATTGTAAAGCATCTTTGGAGATAGGCTGTATAGGAACGTGGTTCTGCTGAACAATATTCAGAATGTCCACGGAAACCTCCATCCTATTGACTATATCCATTCTTCAAATCTTTATTCACTCAGATAGTTTTGCAGGTTTTTTGGGGCTCATTTTTGATTGTTTGTTTGCATTTGTTGTTTCTGTTTGTTTTGTTTTGAATTCATGTCCCYTCAGTACTCTTAATAGGGTCTAAAGGTGGGATTGGTGCTTTGGTGGAGAGGCAGGCCAGCTCGTTCATGCACATGCAGGAGGTATCTCTATCTCCTGTGTTTACCTTGTCGCGCATTAATCACCTCTCTATATATTTGGCCCTATCTATAAGCTCTAGCCAGGCAAAACCTTCATTTTGTGTAGAGAAAATTTCATCAAATATTTTAGGAAGCAGCTAGTTTCTACACGCTTTTCAATGTTTGCATGAGCAAATTTTATTGCACTAGTTAGGAAAAACTTGCACTTTGTGTGAAGAAAATAGGAACTATTTTATAGTACATTTTAGGAAGTGAATAGTTTCTACAGGCTTTCTAATGTTCGCATGAGCAACACTTACGGCAATTAAGGACAGCAATTATTTGAATTACTCCTAGAAAATAAATGCAATAAAAAGAAAAAAATCTATGTTTTAAACAGAACTTGTTTCAGTATTATTTCAGCTATTTTTTATCTTTGCATACATCCCTGAAGTTAGGTGCTGGACTCTACTCTTCCACAGTGCTATAGCATCTCATTTAGAGGTACTCAGTTATTTAACTGAGATATGCCTTTAAGGCAAACAAAGTTATTTTCTTGTTAACTTGAAAAACAGAGGTTTTTTTTGGGCTCAGTCTGCATAAAAGCTGCTCTCATGCTCCACYTTCATGCTTATCAATATTCCCACTGAAGTTCACGAACCTTATTGCAATCCCATGCTCGGTGGAATTAATCATAGCACCACGCCAGTGTGCATTCTCTCAGGCTTTTGCAACATTGCTATTTTGCTGTTTTATTTGCAAAGGCATCCGTTTAATATACTGTGGTTTTACCCATTTCATATTTTCTTTCAAAGAAAGAAAATAAAAGAAAGAAACACTTCTTAGCTGCTTATTATAGCTGGGCTACMCCAGTCCACTGTCAGCAGCAGAACTGGAGTTTGCCTTGTTAGCAGAACAGGTTGCCCATGAGATTATTGAGAGGTTATGATCATGCCACGGCAACCTCTGATTTCCCCTGAGCAAGGAGACCTGAAGCTGGATTTAGAGCTGCTCTCACTGGATGTGACTTCATTGACTTTGCCAGGATCATATCTGCTGACATTGGGTTCCAGTTGGTCCCCCCTTTTCTTTTTAAAATGCTGCTTTAATGGGAGGAGAGAGCGAGCACGAATTATTTTTATTAGCTTTGGATGGAGTTTTACAGAGTGTTTCCATGGGCAGCAGAAACTGCCTTCGAGTTRATGTAAAAGCTGCAATGAGCCCAGRTCTGTTTTCTATAGCTGCATTACAGAGGCTGTAAGAATTATGGAAATAGCAGGATCAGCCTCAAATAGGGGACATGCTGCGAGTGTTCAGCCCAAGGGGTAGCTCGGGGAGCTGATGATCRCTTGCCTATGTCTATACTGCAAGCAAAAGGAGTTATTGAAGCTCTCACATATATACTCGAGCTAGTTTTAATATATATACTCCAGCATTCACTCTAATGTTAACYGTGGTAGGAGTGTGGTAGAGTAATTTAACATATAGGTTCTTCCATACCTACTACAAACACTTGTTCAAACACAGCAGCCCAGAGCACACATAAAACCTACTATTAGAGAATGTGATTAATGTGATTCTTCGAGTTTGTACTTGGGTAAATAAGAGAAGCCCAGAAATCCTTCCTGCTGATGTTTTCATCCGCAAGTGATCCCATTGACTTCAGTGGGGCTGGGAACGGGGGAGTTTTTCACTTTGAGGAAAGGTCTTTAGATTTTTAGCCTGAAAATCTATCTTAACTTTAGCAGGGATTTATTAACATCATGTAGGACACTCTGTATTAGTCATGATGGCACTAAACAAAACATCCAAAGTATCTTTATTCCTGGAGCCAAGTAAGATCTAGAATATTTTTGCCACTCCTGTGGAAGTGAACCAGAAACTTGACATACTTTCACTTAACAAATACATGTTATTTTTGTTGTCAATTTTGCYGCCAGTAGGTTCTCTTGATATTAATACTAAGAAGAAGTTACTTTACTGTATTTTGTTATTATTATTATTGATTGCTCTTCATAGTATTCCTTAATATCAGCTAATTATTAACCATCTATTCCACAGAACTGATAAGCCTGTGGTGCAAATCCCTTCACCTTTATGGGAAAAACAACATCTAATCTATCAGCTTAAGAAATCTGCCAGCTGAGGAATGCAAACATTGCCATTTATAACAACTGAGCGCTGAAAACTGCCAACTTTAAAAGCGACAATGTGGATGGGGGTATGTTCGGCCTGTGGAACAGCAGGAATTTGAGATGTCTTCACAAGCACCCTCATTTTTTACCTTAAACTTCTCTGTGCTCTTGTCCTTGTTCACAACACAAGCTCACATGGCCCAGAGGAATTTAGAAAAAAAAGTTAAATAATATTGGTCCTTTTTAAAAGCATTGATCTGTGTAGTAGCATTTGGTTCTTGCGAGAATAGTTACCAGTTTTCGTAAATCAGTGGTAATTAAATCTTTCTCATTTACTTGCTCCTTAAATACAGCATAGGAAACTAATTCTGTGATCTTTCAGCCTTGCTCAAAGTGTTGGAAAAAAGAAAAAGGCTCATGATTAACTGCTGGCCACACTGAGGTAAGGCTGTGGGATTAGATCCACCAAAACACTTTTTCTTAAGGAGCTGTTTACAGAAAATTTGTGATAGCTGCAAGATTATGGACTCATTTCTGTGATGGGTGAGYGAGAACGGAGCACAAGGACAAAAACCAAAGTGCCCCTGAGTCGCAGCCCAAGGAAACTGCTTTGCACGTTATATGGCAGATAAACATTATTCCTGCGGCTGATCCTCGGAGCAGCCCAAGGGATGAGGCTGCCTTAGTCCTGAACCGACAGAAATCAGAGCCGACCTCTGCAGCTAGGCTTTCTTGCACCTTCAAGGCTAAATAAAGCTCAGGATGTTCCTTCCAGATTCCTGTTTGGTGACAGCAGAGGCACGTCTAAATGTCTTAAACCGTAAATTATCACAGGATGTGCTTTTGCGAAGGGTATTGCTTTCAGGAAATGAAGCAATGAGATGCTGATGCTGATGCTTTTTTGGGGCTTATTGTGCTCTCCTCCGAACAAGCTCATCATCAAGTGCAAATTCCCAAAAGTCTCTCATTTGAGGACATCTTAGCATTTTGGGGGGA